GTTGATAAAGAAACATAACAGTAAATAAAGAAGTCAGATCTTCAAGAAATGCTAATTAATTTGCACAATTTTAAGCGGCTGTTTTAATGCTTATCTTGGCGTGAAAAACTAAAACCATCACCGAGACGAGACGGAAACCTTTGTTTCCGAATTTTACACTAATCAGATTTAGTAGCAGCGGAGGCCGAACCTGAAGAAAATGCTGGTCAAACACTAATGAAGGCCCTGATGCTCAAGAGGGGAGAGAACATCATGAGGCCGAGGAAGAACTCGAAGAAGCCCGTCGATGTCACCTTCAAGATGGAGCTGTATCAGATTATTGAACTCGTAAAGAAAGCCCTTAGTTTTCTTCAATGGATTTTAGAACGAGCGGCAGCAGTATGTGAAAGTGAGCACATGGATTATTGAGATAAGTTTCTTAATGAAAATGGTCGTAGTTCTCAAAGGGTCTCTGCTAGCTTGCCCTGGACCCAAAAATAACAGCTTGGGAGCCAGCAGATATAATTTAGGACTTAAAAAGTTCTTTGCAAGCTTGCCCAAGCCTCATTACCACCTTCCTTGCACATGCTCCGGCAAATGTTCGGGCAAGCTAGCAGAAGTCCTTTGAGAATGATCAAATCTAGCAAATAGCTTCTGCTAGCCTGCCCCAGCACAAAAAAAGCAATCGGGATAGGGTAACTAGCAGCGATCATTTGAGAAGGCTTTTGGTTCTCAAAAGGTCTCTGTTGGGTTGCTCGAGCTCAAAAAACTATGGTCAGTTAGCAGAGATCCTTTGGGAGCCGCAACAGCCTTAAAAATCTCTGCTAGCTTAGCCCTATGTTTAAAAAATGCCAGCGTCAAATAGCAGAAATCATTTGAGGAATTTAAAGGCTCGCAAACGGTCTCTGCCAGTTCTCCATAGCTTCAGCGTTAGTTGGGGCAAGCTAGCAGGGATTCTTGAAATTTTTCTTTCGCTCTAACGTCGCTATTTTGTAATTTTACAGGTGGCACGACGAGTTCCTCTACTGGAACCCGAAGAATTTCGATAACATCACCGAGGTCAAAATTCCATGGACAATGCTGTGGATCCCGGATACCGTACTTTTACAATACGTAAGGACGTTGCTTCCAATGTTTTCCTTAAATTTTAGTGTGGTAATGAAAGACGACGATCAGCGACCGGTTAATGTACGCAAAAGTCACAACAAAATTACGCCGCAAAAGCTCCTACGTTGGGTTTTGTTACCCCGCAATTTACACATTTTCTTGTAAAATTGTATCTACAGTTTTTCCATACGGTACGTTTTAAATAGCGTAGGTATTAAGAAAAATACCTAGACGTTCCAAACGTGCCATATGATCTTCCGGGTCGTGGACTTCGGACAACCACGTTATCGACTATTTCCCTCATACGATGGAAGTCGGGACGAGCAATTTATTTGATTAATGAGGGATGGACGTTAATGGGGACGCAGGGTACGTTTTCTACGATTTGTACGCTAAAGTAGTATCGATTCGTACCTTGGCGTTTTGTAGGCTTGCGTACGCGGTGTAGCTCTGAATTTTGCACTGGTTTCAAGGGTTTTTCCTTAAAAGTGGTAGAAACGCCAACCCTGACCTATTCGGCCGACTAGGTGTAGACGGCTACGCGCGCGTAACTAGCTACGTTCTAATTTCCACTTACCTACCCTCGTTTTAAGGCATTTGCCTGCGCCTAGTCGTTCTTAAGGGGGAGGATTTTGGGATTTCGTGGTCCCTTTGATATTGCATAATGTGCTGGACGATAAAAAATTCGGTGTGTTTATACGGCTTCTTTCAGTCGAACGTCAGGAGAACAAGCTACGTCTGCTGCCCCAACAGCTACACCCTGCTCGATTTTACGTTCTACCTCCGGAGCGGCCATTATTCTATCTGGTCAATCTGGTCATCCCTACCTTTATCATCACGTTGATCGCTATTATTGGGTTTTTCACGACGGGGTAAGGAAGGTCGATGACGTAAGATTTTTGTATCGATTTGACTGTTGAAAGGGTTGGTCACAAGCTATCCAAGTCCGCGGACGGACGGCGGTCAGTCGGACCGGATCGGTCCGAGTGGATCAGAGCATCTCGGACCGGACTGGACCGGACCAACCCCAGGCCGGACCGGATCCGATTAGGGTCCAGCGTGACCAATCCTGCTGTTGACTTAATTAGCGTTTTCCTTTTTGTGCTTCGAGCCTAAAAAGACCAAACCGCATCCAGAAAACCTCCATTTTTTCGCACTTTATGAGTCAAAAGCATCCAGATACCTCTTTCTGCCTGCAAAGTCTCTCTCACTTGTTTACGTGCTTCAAACCCAGAAAAATGCTAAACTTCACCTCCGCCAAAATCATTGCGTTCGCAGGTTGCCTTGGATCCAGATTACGGGGTTCAAGAACCGGGCTTGGATTGTTGATCGTGCAGAATTTGGGGGGCGTTCCGAGTTCAAAGAAGGCAAAGCTTGAAAGCAAACTATTGCTTATTAAAAACAACATTAAAAAGCATAAAAGTTGATTTCCAGCTCTTCGAACGAAGTCCGAGAAGAGAAAATCTCGCTGTGTATCACTACACTTCTGTCGATGAGCATTTTGATGCTGATGGTATCGGATCAGATGCCGTCTACATCGACGTTTATACCATTGATCAGTACGCTTTTTCAGGAACTTTTATTGAGAGTGAATTTTAGTTTTAAAAATTTTTTTAACTATCTTTGAAGCTAATTTCAAAACAATTAAAACCTTAATTTTAAAAAATTGTGGTTGAGGCGTTTTATCAGGTTGGAACGAAAGTTCTGTCGCCGAAATTTTGGAAGGCTGGCTAAATTCGTAGATAGCTCCATTCTGCACATGCGATATGTGATTTTGTGGCTCTCGACCTGATTCGTTTTGGGAGGAGGTCCCCGGGCCGCCAAAATAGAGAAGGGCCGAGATACAGGCCCAAGAAGTTTTTTGCAAAATTGCGCAAAAGTGTTTTTGCAAGTTATCTCTGCATGGAGCAATTTGCATGCGATACCATTAACGCTAATCGATAGCTCTCAAGGAGTAGATATCGATAGATGGTAAGATCATGAAAATTGGGCACTGGATGGCCGAGATATGGCCCCTTGAAGTTTAGCCCATTTCTTAGAATTTTTCCCGATTTCCCATACATTTTTTCAAAATCCGCTCCGCTAGTCCAAAAAATAAAGCGGCAATTTTCGGCACCGGTCCGTCAAATTTTTGGAAATGTATGGGATTTCGAGAAAAGTTCTAAGGAATGGGCCAAACTTCAAGGGGTCGTATCTCGGCCACCTAGTGTCCAATTTTGATGATCTCAACACCTATCGATATCTACTCCTCGAGAGCTATCGATTGGCGTTAATGGTATTGCGTGCAAATTGCTCTATACAGAGATAACTTGCAAAAACACTTTTCGGTGATTTTGGGAAAAACTTCTAGAGCGTGTATCTCGGCTGTCCTTTATTTTGACGGTCCAGCACCTTCGTACCGAAACGAATCAGGTCGAGAGCTACAAAATGGCATATCGCATGTCCAGAATGGAGCTATCTACGATTTTAGCCAGCCTTCCAAAATCTCGGCGACAGGACTTTCGTTCCAACCTGATACATTGATTGGAAAACTAATTTAACAAAGTTAAGCCTTGAAAACCACACTTTAAGGACTTTTATAATAAATTTGAGGTCAATGTAGCAATTTTGTCGTTTTGGTAGGACGAATTTAGGCTATTTATATTTTTAAAGCTAATTTAGCCTAGGAAGCTTTTGCCAACTTTTAGGCTACTTTTAAAGACAATTTTAGGCTGGTTCTACCTTTGCGCAATCGTCATCATCTCCGTCGGGGCTTGCGCGGCTTCTTGTGTGATTCAGATTCAGAAAATCGGGAGGAGAGGTGTGTTTATTGCTCAAAAAAAGTGAAAAAGCAAGGAGGTGTACTGAAAAAGCCTTTAACTCTAATAATCTTAACATTTTCAGGCAAACGCCTCCCAGTAAAAGCCATCAAAATTACGCGCTACATCAGTAGCGCGATTTTGGTGCGAATTCCGCCTCACTTGAAGCCGAGGTCTACTTTGATGCAAAAGGTTGGTTTTTAAACTGCTAATATGTCCAAAGTTATGCCAGCTTACTGTAATTTCAAAGCCGTGCTCGTAGCTGTGATTTGAGAATTCGGTTATTTTCCCGGAGCTAGATACAAAGCTTGAAGCCACTATCGTAGAAAAATTGCTTTGAACGCTTCAAAAATTAGTTGAAAAAACAACGGTCCACCTCCCATCGGCCGAGCTGCGCCAAGATTGACAGAAGAAGACGTGAGGCCGAGTCTCTATCCCCGAATTCCGCTCAAGATTACGGTATCTCGGCCAGGCCGAGCCAGGCGCACTATTTAGAATTGTAGATTTTGTGGTTTGTCGTCAGGATTCACGATTTAACATCGCGTAAATTATATTTTTGTACATAAGTTATTTCGAAATATCCAAAACAGCTCAAATTCGACAAAACGCTTGAATTTTCGATCCGAGGCTTTGTTGAGAAGTCGAAAATTTGTGAAATTCGAATTTTTAGATCGTGAAAATTGCTAAAGCTAGCCTAAAACCTGCCCGAAATACCGTAGTCGCACCCCGGAATCCTATCCCTCTTTCCACATCTTTTTCCTCGGACTGTCGGGCTGTTCGAGGCTCTTTTCCCCCAGAATAATACAGCTTTATTTTCACCTATCCCGCTAGAAAAAGTGGTTGGATGGAGAAGCCAAAAAAATGAAAGTTCATGATTTTTAAAGGGACGGCGACAGCAGGAGAGAGGGCGCGAGAAAGAGAGAGAGAAAGAGCAATTTTTTGCCAATTTTTTAATTTTTCCTCCATCCAATCACGCCGCTCTAGTCGTCACTTACTAATTCACGGCCCCTTTAGCGCCTCTATCGCTATAAATTGAAGGAGGAGAACCGAAAGTCGACAATCGCCCAATTCGCCAAGTACTTCTTTACGGCGGGCACCGACTTGGCCTCCTACCCGATGGGCAATCCGGGTGATTACGGGAACAACAACAACGAGCCGCTGCTGCAGAATGGGGGAGGTGAGTTGGTTCAAAATCATGGAATTACGGTATAAATTTAAATATGTCGAAAAACCACGAGGATTTGAGGCAAGTGAGTAGGGGACTTTAGGTAAAAATAACTAGGCCTTTTAAGGCAACATTTTAAAAAATATCGGGCGGGCTTGCAGAGGTTCTTAGAATTCGCGACTGGCTTGCCGAGGTCGCTGGAATTTTAGGAAGATTGCAAAGGTCATTAAATTTTTGAGGCAAACTAGCAGAGTTTATCGGAAGTTTTGAGCAGGCTAGCAAAAATCATTCAAGTTTCAAGGCAATCTAGCAGAGGTTAATGGATTTTTCGAGCTAGCTTGCAGAGCAATCGCACTGAGAGCAGGCTTGCAGAGATCATTAGAATTCCAGGCAAACTAGCAAAGGTCTTTGGGCTCTTAGGCAAGCTAGCAGTGATCAGTGGACCTTTAGCCAAGCTAGCCAGTTATGCGCGGTAATAACAATCATTTATATACAAATTCACACAAATCACAGGGCAAACGAGCAGAGACCTTTTGGGATCGTTCAATTAACGATAGCTAGCCAAGACAGCACAGAAATACCTTTTTCCAGTCGACAACCCATCAAAGCCATCGGTCGTTTCACCAGCCGAACAGTAAGCTACTTTTTCATACCTAGAAAAATTATCATTGTAGCGCCCAATTCCGATCGCGGGCCCTCTCAAAAGTGGCCAGTGAAGTCGACGGCGAGGACAAGTACGTTTATTCCAAAATTACCGATCAAAATTTGCGCCTTTAGAATAGATTTTGAGGCGATTGAAAAGGAGGCACGGGAAATGGAGTGGGTAGAAATGGCTGCGAAATCTGTGTTTTCCTATATATTGGCTGCAAAATGCATCCCTAGCCACACAAAGAAATGTTCCCTCTGTGTGTTTATCTTTCTTTGGCGTATCAGGAGCGGTGTGTGAAATTCGTTTTTATAGAAAAACTGCTCTATTTTTGCTTTTTTTTGCCCGGCTTACCGCTTTTGGAGTTCAATGATAGCTATGGGGAGCTTGGTGGCAATATTTTCGTCCCATTTGGCTTGAATTACGGTATTTAAAAGCTTACTATGCTCATTTTATTGCAGGCAATTAGGCTGGGGCCCAAAAACATGTCGAAATCGGCATGAAAAGAATGTAACCACTCGAAAAAGAGTGGAAGAAGAATTGTAATGGGCTGTTTTAATTTACAGTCGTAATGCATTCAACGACATATTTTCGCTTCTTGCTATTCCACGCTATTAGTTTGCTAAAACTAGCGTTAAACTGCCCAAATTCCATTCTGTAGTTTTCTGTTATCCCGAGAGATTCCAGACTCTGCGAACGCCAATTTGACTCATTCTTAGCTGCTCGAGGCCTCGTAATTTTCTTAAAATCACAATCAATTATTGATTTTTATCAATTTCTTCATAAACCTGGTGCTTTCTTGAAACTGTATTATCGGGGACTTTAATCTGGCAAATTTGATGTTTGAAAAATCCCAAGTCATGAGAAAATTATCTGGATCGCCAAAAACACTTCCTGAAACCAGAGAATTCTGACTCTTTTTGCACCTTACTAATTTTTACTTCTCTCTGTTCTTGGCTGCCGTGCTTGAAGTGCCTTATTCCTGTTCTTATCAGCACTACTATTAGCAATTTCTGTTCCCCGGCCGTAAATCAACGTCCTGCTGATCCAAAAGCACCGAAAAACGTCCCGGGTCGAGTGTTTTCCGCGTTCCCGCGTTACTGTATTTCAGCGTCGAATCCGTTTGAAAATCTGTTTGTTTTTTATATACTTTTAAGCTACAAACTTCATTTTAGGGTGAAACGGGAGCTCTCAAAAATCGAGTACGACTGGCTGGCCACCGTCATCGAGCGTTGCACATTTGGATTCTTTTTACTCGCATTTTTCACAATGTCTAGTAGGTTTTAGGACTTTAAAAATAGAATGATTTTTACCATAAACTCCATAAAAATCCTATTTTAGTGGGCATCAACATCATCGGGATGTTGCACTTGTCCTGTATCAGGTGGGATGGTGCCTGCGGCACCATTCCCTGCCACGCCCCCTAACTGCCCGTACCCTTAGGGGACCCCCAAGTCTTTAGTCTTCCCCCTTGCACCAATCCCATCAGGTTGCCTTTATTTTTGGATGACTCATCTCAGTAGGGTTTGCTAGTCGCGTTGGCCGGCACCTTTCCCGGTCCCTTCCCTTGTCCTTGTCTTTACTTAACTGCCCAATAAATTATATAAAATATATCCCCTCCTAAGTCGAGGGATGACTTTCGCCACATAACAAGGTTCTGGGAGCAACCCATAGCGCGCATAGCAGATAGTTAGGTTAACAGGGTACCTGACTATAAAATAAGTAACATCCCCAATAGGGAAGATCGTAGCTGAGGTATATTTGGCATAGAGCCCAAAACTACTCAGTTATGACAATGGAGGTCCCGGATTTTGTACTCTTTCGTTTGCGGATTCAGCCAGCGCCGCCTCCAGGTGCTAACGCTACCAAAAATAGCGTTTATATCCAAATTTCAATAATTTTCAAATTCTGTTACTTGTTTTGCCCCACACAGCCCCTTCCAAGGATCCGGAAAAATGGCATGATTCATATATTTCTTTACTTCGTTCATTTTATGTTGGCGGCCGCCACAGGCTCCGAAGGGTGAAGCTTAACCTCACTCATGACGTTAGTTTGTACGAGAATCATTTCGAATTGTTTAGCCATTCGGTCGTTGTAGTATGTAGGAGCCTGATTTCAGGGAGCTGACCACTCCGTCTAGATAGGCGCCATGAGGGCCGGAGAGTCGTCGTATTTGGTTCGTACCAAATTTTTTTCCACCAGTAATAGGTTGCCACAAGTCCTAGTCGGCTTGATGAGGCTGGTGGAGGTTTCTAGGTAATTCCGCTTTAACGAATTTCTTGAATCAGCCCTAAGGAATGCGTATAGATGTTCTTACGCGTTCTCAGGCATCAGTTCCTTTGCAAGGGGATTCCTGAATTTCTAGGAATTAACCTAATAGTTATTGCGAGCTCCTTTTAGACAATCAGCCAAAAACCCAGTTTACAACAAAACTCTTTGCGAGTTATTTAGTCGTCAAATATTTAGGCCAAGAGCGCCTTAATTCAAAATTGAGCTCCTTCGACTCTCCCAGGTTTTGGCCCCACGGATCAGAAAGGAAATTCCCCTTGAAGTAACAAAACCCCTGTATTTTTTTTAATGCCACAACACATTTAGTCACCAAGTAGTTTTCATCTTTTCATCTTTTTGTCCTCCTGCCGAGATAGTGAGGCCGACCTGGAATGCCATCAAACATAGGGGACGCCCGGATGATTTGAATAGTGGTCTTTGGTCTTGAGTCGTCCGGTCTTTAGAAGTACCCAGCGTCCTAACCATTGCCCGATGGCTAACCAATTGGTGTTCAGAGCACGATTCTTTTGGCGCCAAACGGCAGAGACCCGGCACCAGGCGGCTATCACCGCTAACTTGGCCACCGAGAGGTGACCTCAGACTATGTGCCCAGAGGGGACGATTCGAATGCGCAACGAGTCGGACCTTTTGGAACAGATGTCCAGGCCCTCTCGCCTTGCTCTCTCACTCTCCATTATCTCTCTATTCGATTTTTCTCTTACCCATCCCCCTTGTCTGCCTACTATCCAATAATCCTTCACCCTATCTGCCCATTCTTTTCAACTTCTTTTTCCTTTACTGCCTGCGTCTCTTCCTCGTTCTATCTCTCTACTGTCTCTAACCGTCTTTTCACTCTGTGCGCCAACATCATCTGCCGCAAGCGATACGACTGTCGAGCAAGGATACTGTAGTACGAGCAGCAAGCCAAACGATCAACATCGAAGGAGACAGGCCTGTTTACGGAAAAATAAGTGAACAAAAACCAAAATCAAGATTAACAACATTTTTTTTCTTTTTAAAATTCGCAAACCAAACCAGATAGATCTCCAACATAGTTCAACCTCTCTATCCAACTAAATTCTCGTTTTACCGCGTTGCTTCCTCTCTCCATCTGTACCAACGAACGCTACCAGGTGCCACGAGACTGCCTGCTGCGGGGACAGTGGTGACAGAGGAGAGACAAGCATTAAGGTCAAGCGCATTTCTATCTCTTAGTAAAGTAAAATCCCTCGGTATCGAAACCGTCTTTTCCCTGTTATCCCCCAATTCTAAAAAAGCCCAACCGTTCTAATTTCAATCACTGCTCCTTGTGTCGAAACAACTAGCAGTCCATAAAAATTCGCGCAAATTTTTTTAAGCTGCTTTAGTATAAGTGTCCCTACCCGTAAGCACAATCCGCACTCGCCTCAAAATAACCTCGTTTTTTTAACGGGAAATCAAGATATGCCAAGATTAGAAATGCTCCAAGCTGCCACGCAAATGTTGAGAAGATCACGAAATCAGAGTGAGCAGGCAAATGTTGAGGAAGATGAGCTGCTTTCTCCGAAAGAACTACGAGAACAGCTGAAAATCATTCAAGGGTTTGGCCTGGTTTACACTGGCCAGAACCAAGCACTTGGACAGTTCTTGCGCAAACTCTGGACGACAGCGAGAGCTTATGGACTTGCTAGCACGGCAATCAAGCGCAGCTTAATGCTATTAGTTCAAGGCGAAGCAAAAGCCGTCATCGAACTGATGGGCTCTGATCGGCGCAACTACGATCAAATAATTGAAACATTATCGGCCTACTTTGATACTAACCAGCTAAAACATAAGCTATTGGTAGAACTACACAGCAAGCGACAAGGCGAAACCCAAAGCTTAGCTGAATACGTCGTCTCAATTAAAGAATTAGCGACAATTTTACAAATGGAAAACGTGGATGATGCAATTCGTACCGCCTTATTGACCAGAACTTTGCCAAAAATACAGCAAAAGTTTGCAAAGGTGGATTTTTCGAGAATGACAACAGAAGAACTATTTAAACTCGCCAGAAAAGTCGAAATAAAATACGAACTAAACAAGCCAAATAGAGCTCAAGTCACTACTATCGATACTCCAAATAATGAAGAAACAGAAGAGAATAATGAAGAATGCAATTACCAACAACCGTTTCCGGATTTCGCGCGGCGAACCGATGAGAAATACTCTGACGAACAATGTCAGAATAATCAAGGATACTCTGACGAAAGACGTCAGAATGAACGACCCCAATTGCAAGTGAATAATGAAGATAGCCCAACAAACGGGCAACATCGAAGAGAATGTTTTTATCGCGGACAAATCGGGCATCTGAAGAGAACTTGCCGACAGAAGAAAAGACAAGGAATGAACAGAAGCTAAAAAAATATGATACCGAAGACTCACCGACAACGAAACAAACGAGAACAAAATTTTTGAGGCAGAGCGAGAATGTGATTAGCTATCCAATAGAAATCCAAAATCCCTTCCTTCTGCGCGTAATAACTAAAAAAAAGTTTAGCACCAAGCCCCCCCCGTTTTATTTCTTCTTTTCCTAGCTTCCTTTTTTTTTTTAATTACAAACAGTGACTCGAACACTTATCTAAAAACCCTTTAAAAATACTCTTTTATAGTCCTAAGCTAAAATAATCTAAATAAATTTCTTCTAAAATTCCTGTTTAAAAAATTCTTTTCTAAGCTAATCTAGAAACCCAGTAATTAAAAAAATCCTACTATAACTCTTAACACACCCCCCTTCATAATTCAATAGCTCTTTTAACTAAAAAATATATCTACTATTAAGCAATTTTTATGTCTAACTAATTTTTCTTTCGTTATTAAAAAACCTATAAACAGTGATTCGAACACTGATTTGCTTTTAAGCTTCTAATTCAAAATTCAATAAAAAACCCATAAAAATCAACAAAATCAGAAATTCAAAAGAACTAAAAAAATCCAAATTACGATTTAAATTATAACGCGATGGCGAAAGCCAACATAATCTCAGGAAGCAATGCTGAGCCAACCAAGAAGATCACACGACGACGTTACGGAAGACTTCAATATCTCCACTCGACTCATGGCCAAACAGGAAACACGCACCAAAGCCAATAATGACACACATTACAACCTTCCAAGACACCTTCCAAAATTTTTTTTCTTAATTTAAACAGACAGGAAACATGCAGAGCCACTAACAACAATTCAACTCAACTTCACCACCTTTTGTAGAGCAACTAAGCCTGAAGAGTGATCGAGATTGCTACGAAGCGCCCGCCAACTAGACGCGCCATGTCGTGCAGCCGAAACGCTCAACGCAGTGTGCCCAGCCGCTCCTCACGCATGCCACCGAAGGAAGAAGCCGAAGCGAAATGCGCAAGTCCCACTTCTTTTCCCAACCTTACGTTGTAATCTATCATCCAAATAGCCCAAATAACTTTATTCAGTTCCAAAACTAAACTCTAACTAGCCATTTTTCCCATATATCCCCACTTACATTTTTCCCTCTAAAACTTCTCAACCCCAACTAAATTTATGTTTTGAATTCTCACAATTAAATCACTAATATTTCATCATTTCTCACTTATTCTAATTTTTTAGGCAACATTAATTTTTCGTTTTCCCCAAATTTTTGTTCTCAAACATATTCATCTTTGTAGCCCTCTACCTATATTTTTGATATCAAAATCACCTCTGCTAACCCATTAAATACATTACTCCCAAATTTCAGTTGTTTATTCCTAACCTAAGATCTTACTCTTACTCACCACCGGTCTTTAACTAAACCTACCACTTTACGTTTAACCAAATTCCGCTTCAATTTATCTATTCTTATTTCTTTGTCGATTCCCAAACTTTACGCCAAACTTCTATTTTTTATCCCAATTTTCCTATTATCTCACAATTAACGATACTGTAATCTATTAATCTACTCGCAGAATAATTTATAATTGCACCCTAATTTCCCTCCATTCTCGCAATTCGCCTATATATTTTTTTTAATTTCCCTTCTTTATCATCTTTTCCAATCCTTCACTGCCATCTCCACTACTTGTAAAAATCCTATTTCTCAATTTAAAATTTCCTTGCTATTCCAATCTAAACACCCTTACCCCACTTTCCGTTACCACACTTATATCAATATCCACACGTCTGT